ATATTATATATATAGTATATATATATATATATATATATATATATATATGTATATATGGACTACGGGACTAATGGAGGCTAGCCGGATCAAGAGCTTGTTTCACGTAGATTGAAACAGAAGCAGAAGTCAACGTCCAAAGGTTGATCTTTGATTCGTGGAAATTCTCACGGTTTGCCTCTCCACGCTTTCCACCACAGTGGTTCGAATCACAGTGACAATCCTCGATGATTTACATAATTTAAAATTCGTACTATGTAAACATTGGTCGCATGTCACAAGAAATCTGTCACGATGCAATACACAGACACAGAAACGAACAGAACGAAATTTTCTATCCTCTATAATATAATATATTTCATTAGTCATGTCACACTTCTATGCCATCGTGCAACAACATCGATTTCTAAGGAACGAACCATCTCTAATAAATTGAAAAATTAAAAATTAAAAGAAAAGAGAGAGAGAGAAACAATAAATGAAACAAAACTAAAAATTATATAAATCAAAGAAAATAAATCAATCGATCACGATACAGCCACGCTGCGTAAGAAAGCTCTTGACCGGCATCGCTTTCTTTCAAGAAATGGATTTAAAAATTCCAAATATACGTGTGTATACCATTTGTATATGTATGTCCGTATGTATCATCAGGCGTGGTGTATGGTGTATCAAACGTATCATTGGATACTCAATATTGAACAAAACAAAACAAATAAAATAAAAAAGAAAAGAAAAATCCAAAAAAAAAAAAAAAAAGATAAAAAAAGATATGATCACACGGCAAGACTATGCACTCGTTCTCTCTCTATATATATATATATAGGAACTTCCAAACCAACGACAACGATAATCAATCGAAAAAACGGTCATAATAAACATCGTAACGATAATCAATAATCAACCGTAACAAAAATGTAATATATATATGTATATATATATATAAGTAGATGTGATAAATAATGATCTAACGTATATATATATATATATATATGTATATATGTATTTATATTTATACGTAGAAACATTAAGTTTTAAATTAACGAACGCTTGAATCAAGAAAGGGCATTTGGCCTTGGTTTCGGGGTTACTAGGCAGGCACACCTTGCTGGTTCGGTCTGGTTGGGGCGGTGTCGCCCGACGCTCGTAGTGCCTCTCCGGCTGTTGATAAAGGGGGATCTGTAAACCCATTCGGAAACGTGTTCTCGCAATATGCCTACTACTTTCATTTTTTTAATTTTCTTTTTTTTTGTATTGTTATTTCTTTTTTGTTGGAATGATGTTTTTTGTGCCTTTGTTTGTTAATTGTTTTTTTTTTTCACTATCGTTGTTTCTTTTCTCTTCTTTTTTGTGTATATTTTGAATTATGTATATTTCGTGGTATTCTTGGTTTTTCTCGACAGATGTAGATGTGATTTTTGTCGTTGTTCAAGACTTTACTTTTAACGATAAATTTAAAATTAAAATTGATTGTTTAGAATTAATTGTATTGAAATGTAAATTTGGATTTAATTTATTTGTTTAGCATTTCATTATTGAACAATATGTAAGTTTGCCTCTTTTGATTGAATAATTATGAAAACTGAAGATATTATTCTGTGAATGATCAATTGATTTTGAAAATACAATGATAATAAATTCGTAAATTAGAAATTGCAATTTTAATATTACAAGAATTGTAAGATTTGATAATAGTCTTGAATTAATGCCGAGATATTCAAGATTCGAAGTAAGCGGTTGTATTATTGTATAATCAATGATTAAACAAATATATATTTATTTACGAATCAGTTCGAAAAATGTAACTATTTTGGAACTAATGATCCAGTTTCGAACAAGTTCCACGATTTTATATATAAACATTAATTTGTAAATTGTTAATATCAAAAAAAACTTAAAAATTCTATAATTCTAAAGAAAAAAAATTGTCGAAAACTATATTAAAACAAAAATTATAAATGAACAACGTAACATCTCAACTCAAAAATCCATGTACAACGAATTTCATTGATTAAGAGTTTTTTTTTTTTTTTAAGTAATAATAAAGTATGAGAATATCGAACGATCGTGAACTCATCGTGGCTGGACCATATCCTGCGAGCTCTAAATCTGGATATAATCCCCAGAGTATTGGACCGTTGTTGTAAATCAGCTTTAAGTACGCCCAAGTGTGTCGTGTATCATTAGACGTGCTGTTTTTAGCTGATCCACTGATGCTGCTTCAGATACACAGAATCCTTCGTGGAAATGTTTTTCTCCTCTGCGGAAATAAATCCACGAAGTGGTATGATTTCCAAGAAAACGATAAGTCACGAAACAATATATATCACACATCGCAGGTTTCGTAGAACCCTTGCTATTTTGGAAAATTAACAGAAATGCAAATACGTCAAGTATTAATCCAAGAAATTCTGAGAATCTTTTGATGGAATGATAATGAAAACTCTACTAATTTGCATATCTGAATCAGAGTTAATATATATGATGATTTAGATCAAGTTATTTAATTTCAGATTTTATTTTTTACTTTAATCTATATTTTTTTTATTTCATTTCATTTGAATTTATATTGAAATATTCCGAAATTAAGTAATCTAATTAAATCATCGTCATAATCTATGATCCAATTATATAAGCACGTATCAATTGAGAATTAAGGAAATCCGTATTAATTTGAAAAATTAATACAACGTGCAATTCTAAAATTTTTTTTTAATCCTCGAATATTTAATAAGAATTAACGAACACTCTTTAACAGATCAGTCATCAGTTTTTAAATTTCTCGAATTTGTGACGCGTTAATTTCAATTACAGATGTACCCCAAATTGTTAAATGACGGGGATAATGAGTCTAACATCTCGATTATTCGAATCTTTTAAATGTCAAGACGAATAATATTTGATTTGATCACGGTCAGCTGAACCACGGTCAGCAATTTATCAAGTTCCTATTACTGCTCGTTTGCAAAACGAATTTGCGAATCGATTCAGCTGAGATAATCGAAGACGATTTGATTTTAATACGGTGACGAAGGACGTTAATTAAGAAAATTACCGGTCCCTCCTTTCCTCGACTTTCCACCTTGAAACTGATCCCAATTTGAGCCTTCATTGAGTTTCGTAACGGATGATCTTAATAATTCTCTAGATAGCTTTTCACCTCTACGAGATTTAACGACATCAGAGATATCATGTATCTTTAATTTCGTTAAGGAAGCAAATTTAGAATATTTGATGAAAATAAATTTTATATAGAGTGGATTGTAATTCTTGTCATATCGATAAGTCGAAATCGATTCTCAAAAGAAAAAAGAAAAACTTTGAAATTCAATCGATCATTGGCAGCTGTTATTTATATATTTATATATTCGATTCATTTATATATATTTCAATACTGCAATTCCAGGATACAAAATTCTATAAAATCTTTAAACAATACGTGCTTCGATTACTGGAAAGCCACAAAAATTTCAAAAATTTAGATAATCCCATTATCTTCGAAATATAGAATTTGTTAGTACACGAATCTCTTTACAACATAAAAAAAAAAAAAAAATGAAAAGAGAAGAAAATAAAGGAAGAGAAATAATTTAAACACGAAATTAGAATCATCAAAAAATCATCGTCAATTACGAAGATCGGGATCGCCCGAGACTGAGAACGATTAATTAGATCGATGATCGAACCAACGCTCGCGAATCTGGCTCTCGTCGAACAGAACGGAAAAAAGATAGAAGGAGATAGAAAAACAAAAGCAGAGGGAGGCAACAAGACGTTCTTCAAACGCAAGCGCAAGTAAACACATTCAGTGTGTAATAATTAACGTGGTGGCGAGAAAATAAGATTGGTCTCGAGACGATTGGACGGAAAGCCTGATTGATTCGTTGGTCTGTTCGCTGCGCCATGGCTCACGCTGTAGGCAAGACACAATCAAACTGATACAGAAAGAAGGAAAATCTTGAAAAAAATCATTGAATGCAAAATATCGAGAGACGTGTTTTCCAGAAATCGAAATAAAATTATACGAAACAAGAGAAAGGATAAAAACAATTGTGACAACAATCCTCGGTTAGAAACGTCCCCTTTAAACGCTATCGCCACCTTCCCCATTCCAATTTAACGATTCCATTACCTTATGAAATATCGCGTAATTTTTTCCCTCGTCTATCCGAAGAAAAATGACTCGTTTCTCAATGATCATTGATCAGCATGGAAGTTTCGCATTCTTCTTGGCCCCGTCACTTATCGATTTTGTTCGTTTCTCGGTGTAATGTTTGTTGTAGAACTGAATTGCTTAATTGTGTAAATTGTGTTAATACATGGCCTATTACGAATAAATTGTGCCGTAACAAATTTTCAGATCGAAACGAAAGCCTGACATCGTATTAATACACGCATCCTCTTTCAGTTTCACGACAAGATTATTCGCGTGTTTCATGCAAATGAGAGAACAGGAAAAAAAAAAGAAAACAGAATTCATTGTGAACAATAACTGTGAACGTGTTACGCCATAAGATCCGATCGAACGGATCGAAGAGGATGCTTGCTCGACTTATTTCATCGACAAGGAAGGAACGATCGGTTGGCTCGAAAACGATTCTCTCTCTCTTGTCCAGATCTTATTCAAGATAATTGTAACGAACGATCGAGTCTACGTTGCTCTATGAATACCATATGCGTGGACCACGAAAGATCGAGTGAAGAGGATTAGAGGCGTGCCGGATATCGAAAATAAGAATTCGAAACAGATTCTCAGAAAAATTCGAATGTGATCAAGTGAGATAGCCTCCTATGTTCTTTCCACCATCTCGAAACTTTCGACGATAATCGAACACGTTAACCCTCGATTCGATCGGTGCAAAATCAACTCGAAATCAAATTATCGCTCTTTCCAGAATCGATTCTGGCTCACAAACACGAACGAGCCTTCGGCTGATTTCGATAACATCGGCTCGAAGACTCGATCGTCGATCGTGCTCGATCATTGACGAAAGTATTTGGATTCCGATCTCATCCGAATTTTCCCGATTTATTCCGAAACTCGAATTCTCGACGATCCCACATAATATGGATATTCCGCTCGAAAACTATTTACCTATAAACTAATGAGATACGATCAGTTGGTGAAACATCCTCACGAGAGTACCTATTGATCGGAAGAAACGCACTCGAGGAACCGTCGCTGATGGAGAAGATATCAATGATACACGGCCTCTCATGCACATTTATGTGTTGTGTACATTTCCATCATACTTGAACATTGCGCGATACTTGTATAATTTTTTTTTGTGTGTGTGAAATAAAAGAAAGGAATAAAATTGGAAAGTAACAGGAGGAGGTAACCGATCGGATGGTTTTCTACGATCGAGGTGGTGGCGATGGAAAGGCTGTTAAGAGTTATTTGAGATAATTGGAGAAATTTTATCTTTGTTACTTAAGATTGAAAGATCTCGAGAGAATTATTGGAAATCTTGGTTAAATTTATCCTCTTGGAAGAATTGGAAGTTTAAAGTTTTCTATGGAAAGCAATTGTGCGAGTTGGGCGTTCGAGTATTTAATATGATAAAATGGTATTCTTAAGCAAAGTTTTTCAACGCTTCGGTTAAGAGATGTGAAAGTTCATGTCTTCTAATCTCCTAATATATTTCTAATTTACACAAATACCATCGAACAACTATAAAAATAATAAAAAGACACTGTGTATTATTACTTTCTTAACCGATCTTGGCGAAATTTTGATTTATTGCCATTAGAATCGACAATTTCAACCATTTATTTTAAAACTTTCAAACATATTAGATATACGCTTAATAGAGAAGAGAAACTGAAGGAACACTAGAGATTCTCCAATAATACATCACAGATATAGCCAGTTAACGAGATACTGTAATCCAATTTACTTTTTGCGATTTACTCTCGAAAATTATTTGTACACTCTTAATGAACACTGCATAGATAATGACCATTCGAGGTCATTTTCAACATTCATTTTCAATGTCCATTTATAAAAAATAATTCTCCAAAGCAATCGAAAGTTATTTCTCGTTAATGTCATTTGACAAAAAAAAAAAAAAAGAAATAGTAACTTTTCTCTCAAATGAACTCTCTGAATCCTAACATTCATCGCCACGAATGTAGGGGAATGTAAATAGGTCGATGCACGAGTGGTTAAGGGAGAGAGAGAGAGAGAGATACGGAGGAATTATATGGAGATTTTGTTTCGTAGAGAAGTTGGAACAATAGGGATTGAGTAAGAGTCGCGAGGACAATCGGTATAATAAAATATACATGTCGAGCAGACGGAAAGCGAGACGTGTGTTCAACGTGTGTGCGTGTTCCGTGTATATTTTGGCTTTTCGTGGTGTTTCTCTGCAGTGGTGGAGGATAGACACGCGCGGCCTCGCTGTGTTTTCGTTCTATCTGTTGCCTGACAGAAAAAATTAGGATAAAAGAAAAAGGAAAAAGGAAACTAAAAAAAAAGGGGGGGGAGGGGAGAGAGCCTGGACACTGGTCCCGACGAAAATTCGAAAGGATAAAATGAGAAAGAGAAGCTATGCATAATCCGGTCGAAGCGGAGCTTCTTGCCTGTTGTAGAACGGGAGACGGCTCACTTCGACATGTGGATAGAGAGATCGATTGGCGGAAAAGAGTTTGTGGGGAAAAAAAAAGAAAGAAAAAAAAAAAAAGAAAAAAAGAACGAAAAGGAAATCCACCACTGGCACGAGAAGTTTCTTTTTTACACGACTCGATTATTGGTCGCATCTCTTTCGTTTCTCGTTTTGTTTTATTTTACCTTTATCTTATTGCTGTTATTGTTATTATTTATTTATTTTTTTTTTTTTCGTTTCTTACCAAACATACATGGACGACAAGGATACCTATATATCCATGCATAAATATACATTTCGTATAATATTTGTCGAAAGACAACGTAAAAGACATTTGTATATAGTATAACGAGCTCCTTTATTTTTATTTTTCTATCTTTTATTTATATCATTTACCTTTGGTTCTCTTCTTTTTTTTTTTTTTTTTCTTTTTAATATCCCACACACATTATGCTTTACTTTATACAGTATTTCCTGCGGCAAACGCGGCAGCGATTCTCTGTAATGCAGACAGTTCCAAAAACTGACCGTGACACATTGAACAATAAGTATAATAAGTATATACGCGTGTACATATACATATATATAAAAAAAAGAAATGAAATCACGTGGGTGGAAGGGGGGAGGGGACCAGCCAGGCCCCGTTATCGTCGTAGATTAAAAAAGAACATTGCAACGAACGGCGACGCAAAGCTGTACAGACAGACAGCGCGGCCAGATAGGGTAGTAGGTTGTAAAAAAGGTTATAAAAAAATAAATAAATATAGATATATAGATATATATATAGAGACAAAGTCAGTCACTTTTTGAAACTGACAATAATAAAAATAAATATATACGACGACGAGACGCTTGGTTTTTTTTTTTTTCTTTTTCTTTTTTTCCTTTTTTTTTCCTTTTTTCTTTTTTTTTTTTTTTTTCCTTCTTTCTTAAATTTTTACACAAGGATCATCACGAGCTGTGGGTATTATATGAGGTGTATATATATATGTATGTATATATATATATACTATATATATATAATAGAATACCAAATAAATAAAAAAAAAAAAGTAAGATACGGTGCTTTCGTATAAGAAACAGTGGTAAACACTCACATAGACCTCTTCCCATTGCGAGACATACCGCACCAGTCTTGACAACCGTAGTAACCTAACGAGCGACAACAGTTTCGCAAGCCTGAGGATCCTGAGAGCACGGCCAGCATGCAGGATCTGGAAGGACTCGCTAAAGTCCTGAAACTGACGATTGAAAACGATTATTCCGTGGGAATCTCGTCCCATACGCGGCCCATTAACGCTGCGTGGAATTGAATCTCAGGTTAGCGCTCATTCAAAGAGGGATTGAGGGCGGCTTAAACCGAGCTTAATTTGTCTTGTCTGGCGAGGATCCCGGTGAAAATTATACCACGTTTTCAAGCGGAATTAATTTAATTTGAGTAGGTATTTCTAGAAATTTTCTTGAGAGGAGAAAAAGGAGGAAAAAAATTATTATTATTATTTCGAGAAATAGCGTGTAATTGGTACGGTAATTTTAAATTTAAATTAAAAGATATTATCATTTAAATACGGTATACGCTATAATAAGAAACAGAGATTAGGAAGGTAAATTCAATTTAAACCGCTCTCATTTCTGAGGATTTAATCGCATTGTGTGCTACGTTTGGCACCATTGTTAATGTACATTGTTTGGCACATTAATCATTGGCGCATCAATGGCGTAGATTCGTTGGCAAATTGGATTAAAATTAGAATGAAATAAGTATTCGATCATTCTTCAAAATAAATATTTAAGTTTTTAATAAGCGCTATTATTCATGATTTTAAAATATCCAAATGAACCTTCGAATAAGCTTTAACATTTTTTGAACGATTTTCAACTGATTTTAAAATATTCATAAATAATTTTCGGATGATTCTAGATTATATCTTTCTTAAATAATTTAAAGATCAAGGATGTTTTAAACGAGTTTGAAAAATCACTTTTAAAAGATATCAAAGCAAATATTTCTACTAAATTCTTACATAATTTACATTTGCTAGATAAGTTATCTCGAACGATAAATCTTAAACAATATAATCTTTAAGGAATTTTAATAAAAGATCAAAATTACATCATGAATTTTTTATTTTAATTTCTCGTTGACAGTAAATTTTTCTGAAAGTGAACAGTTGAAATAAATTTTCAGGACGATAACCAAATAATAATTAATTATACATGCAAAATTAAATGTTACGAGTTAAAAAGGAAAAACAAAAATGTGGAAAAATACCAAAGTACCGAAGTATACCATATCTCGTATACCAAGATATACAGTTGTAATTAATGTAATTTATACAATTGGAAACACTATATCCTGAAATGTTACGTATCACGCCAACAGTTTGCGTAAACTGATTAATTACATGAAATCGTGTTTTGCAGAGAAAACTAAAACTCAACTCCGGTTTAACAAATTAAAGTTAGAGATACGTACGCATCAGGATATAGATAATTAATATGCACTTACTTGATTAAATATGAGGAAAATGTAGTCTAGTGGTATGGAGGAAATGAGGTCGAGAAAGAACCAAGTCCTGAGGTAGTGTTTTGCGATTAATTTTGGATCCAGGATCACTTGTTCCGCATTATCCTGTTGCATTATACCTAAGCAAATATATATAATAATCTATACATCAATTTTAAAATTTCATTTTATTTTTTTATTACATTGTTTTATATTTACTCCGTTATATTCTTTAAACTTTTGTATACTTTTTCATATTACTCTTTATCCCTTGTTTCATTATTTTCTTTATTTTCTTTTATTTCATTTTTCTATATTTTTTAATTTAAAATTGGAAATTGAAAGAATTTTACTATTTCCTTCTCTAAAAACGAGAAGGAATATTTTTAATTTTTAAAGTTTACGTAACCGTTAGTAGGCAAATTCTTGATTACACGTGAATAGATGATTTTTTTGTAATCAAATCTTTCTATATCAGCTTTATTCACGTTAAATTTTATTCCTGCAAAATTTCAGTACGATGATATTTACATACTCGAGCGTAACAAATTAATCTTCAGAATTAAATACAAACGCTAACGGTAAAAAACTGATACAAGTAATTGAAACTGGAAGAATCAATAATGTGTTGCTTTTGACGTTTCAAATCAAGATAAAATTTATTTGTATAACTTGTGTATATGGAATGGTAACCTGTGGTTTTCACCGCTACAAAATTAAATTTGAACTGTTTCTGTGGCCTCTCATCTTCCTCAATCTCTTCAAGATATTCTTCAAGACAAAGTAGCAGCAGATAAATCCAAAATCTCAATTAATTTACACACTTAATACACGTATTATAATTTCAAGATGAAACATTAATTAACTTAGCCATAATTAAATCTAAAAACACCGAATTAATCTCCTCATCGATCAAATATCATTTCAAAATTTCTGTTAACATTTATTTCATTTGAAGGATGGAAAGAGAAAATAAATTCTCTTAAATAAAGATTATCATAAAAACACTTTTCAAGATAGAAAACAGCAGTAAATAAATCTTAACTTCCACGTATATGATACACATATCAATTTCAAAACGAATCATCCACTCAACTCAAATTTAAAAAAAAAAAAAAAAACCAACCTTTCAGACTTATATTCTCATAGTCCTATTATATATCCTCAATCGAACGATTCTTCAATGCATCGTTAAAAGACCTACCAATACAAGTAACAAAACGAATTCGTCCATTCCCAGCAACTTTGCCTCTCCCGGAATCTGCCACCTCATTAGCATGGAAACATTTCACCCTCGATCGACTCGATCGGCGTTCGCCGGCAGAGGCGTTAGTATTCGGCACGTGGAACGCCAATATTGGCCGACGGCCGATAATCTGGATCAAGAATTCGCGACAATCGCGAATCCGACGCGGCCCACGTACACGGTTTAACGCGTACAATGGCTTTCATCGGGCACGTGACCCAATTCGGTTCCTGGGGAAACGCGTTTCAAATTAATCCACCGACGAATAACGAAACGTGTGAGCCAATGCGATGTGATTAGAGTATGGCACCGCACGAAGGTGCTTGCCAACCGAAGATGCTTTCCTGAACACGCAATCTTATTTCTTGATGATTTAACAACAATCGAAGATTCATTCGAGGAGGACAGGAGACGTGAAACGAATTAATTTCCTTTCTTTTAATAATAATTTTTCTTGATAATGATTGGAAATTGGTGATATACCTCTAACTTTAATTGGATAATTTGTAAATTATCGAATTATTAATGAAATCATAGGCGAATTAACGAGAAATTATTTATAAAAGGGGGGAAAAAGTTGTTCAGCTCTTGGTGTTTGTTTAAAAATTGTGGATTTGAGTCGGTTAACATCAGTTGATTGCTATATGAATTTTGTACTTGTTTTATTACTTTTCGACTACGTCAAAATGCTTTTGAATATTTTAGCAGTGTAATGTTCGCAGTTCAATACAATCTTATTGAAAAAATAAAATTGTTTCGACGCTATTGGACGCATTTAATATTTAAAATAATTTTTAAAATCAATTGTACAGAACAACTTTTCAATCGTGAAAATAAAATTTGATTGTACCTTATAAATCTATGAAAAATATTGCGATGAAAGAGAAGGAGGAAACATGACCTAAAGTCTAATAAAAATTTTTTTTTTACTCATAAAAGTAAAGGTAAAACAAGATTGGAATCCGAATATTACCGAGTCAATAACACAATAAAATTAATCTTCTACTTAAATTTCCATTCTATATCATATTTCCAATTTGATTAAATTTCCTCTATTAGAATTAACCCTTTCAGACCCATTCCTCATTATTCAAGCCACTTTTGACAAAGTGAAATTGGATCCTCCGGTTTCATATTGGAATGTAACTTCATAAAAATGTAATCGACTCGCGTGAAAGCCGTGATTTCCCGCCTTTTGTTCGTTTCCTTTCACGGTCTCTCCTTCCTTTTTAATGTCAACAATTAGAAGTTCCTCCTTTTCAAACTTCCCCTGAGCTTTCTCGAGGCGGCGACACGGATAATTTTTCAAAGAAACTCACGACGATGTTATCTAATCATGAAAATTTGAGGAGAATTAAAAAAACGAGAATTTTTTAAATATTTTTTTTTTCTCTTTTCTATTTATCAGTATTCAATATATGTGACGATAGTTAGAATTTATAACTTTCATTGGATGAGTGAATTTTATTGATAATATTTTGGTATTTAAATTTTAATAAAAGAATTTTTATTTCGAAGAATATTTGATAATCGCTTCTAAAACTTTCCAATACCTCGAAGCATAAAGATGAACTTTTTGAAACACTTCACAAACATCTGTTGTTAAGGTTAAACCCATTAAGGCGTTTCGAAACTTTGGAATTCGTAAAAATTCTAAAATTAATTAAAATTTAAAAATTTTCATAATTATTATTATTAACATAACAGTTTTTTTGTAATAAATTAATAATAAATTATTTTCATCATACATTTAATACTCGTATATAAATTTACTTCTCTTTCATTATTACATTAATAAATGAAGTTAATAATAATTGAATATACATAATAAATAAATCATAATATCTATTATCATTATCAGTTTGCAGGAAAAAAAAATTGGTTCGAAAGTGATACGAATGATCAATTACCGTTCTCTTTTTATAATAATTTCGAAATTCATACCATAATTTTTAATTCTTAGCATGAATATTCGCAGGAAAATTCAAATTCAAATCCAAAAGTTATCAAAGGGATAAAATTTTTACACAACTCTGAAAAAGTAAGGCAATTAAAAAGCCCAATCTATTATCCCCGGACAAGTTGATAACTCCAATCAACGAACGAGCCATTCGAATCCCTCTTGAAAAACGTATGTTCAAAGAAACGCGATCTTCCACACGTGGTTACACGAGGAAACGAGGGTGCGAGGGATACATTTAAGCGAATCGTCGCTTTCCAACGTTTTCGTTGGAAGTGGAGGAGGAGAGATTTGGGTTGGCCCGATGAGAGGAGCACAGGGCACATAAGGAAAAAAAAAAAAAAAAAAAAATAGGAGAAGAAGAACGAGGTCGGCCATTCTTTCCTCCAATGTCCTCCTCCCAAACGTGCACAATGCAAACTTTGCATCGCTTCTGGCTCCCCCTCCCCACCGCGGACACGAGGTTACCATTAGTCCCAAAGTGATCGTCCAACGAAATGCCAAGTCTTTTCGTCGCTTCTTTTTGAAACGATCGAACGATTTTAACTGAATGCCCCCGGCACACCGTCGATAAGGCTTTGAATGCGGGGCTCAATTGGAACGAAAGAAAGTTTTTTAAAGGATCACGATATCGTGGGTTATGGAGTCTTGACTGTGCACGCTCTTGGATATTTCTCTTTTATTGCCGTGTGACTTGGAGCAAAATGAATTTACATTTGACCTATCGACCTGCCGGAGTTTAGAATACAATCCTCGAATAATAATCTCATCGTCACGTCAGGTCGTTGAGAATTCTTTAAGATGATATTTGTTCAAATAATAAATCCTTGTTTAGAGTCGAAGATATCGTTTATTTTCACGAATTTGCAATTCGATGATTTATACTTTAAATATATGCAGTGAAGTGTGAAATAATAATTATCGAAATTTTTGAAAGGTTTATGTATCTATTTCGTTAAATTCAATTTTTATAAAAGGATATGTATCGATCGAAATAAGTAACACGGAATATCAGTGTTATTTTTCCCTAAATATTTGAGAGAATTAACACTCACCTGTCCTGAAGTTGACGACAATGTCTATGAGGAATATCGTGTCAGAAAGGCAGTTGAAGGCTATCCACCTAGTGCTTAGGTCGTCATTGAAAAAACTAATGGCGACTGGCAGAATTATCAGATTAGCTACCAGCAGGAGGAGCATGCAGAGATCCCAGTAGAATCTGAAATCAAAATAGAACGACCATTATTGATTAAATCAAACGTAAATATAAATTCAATAGAAATTAAACAGACAATCGAATACGAAGAAGTTTGAAATCGAATGATAAATTAAACAATCACATTAAGAACGACAACTTGATCAAACCAAATCAAGTAGAGTATTCAAGCAGAATATGTATTTTGTTCACCCTGCACGATACAATACGGCCGACAAAACGAAAGGGCTTGCCTTTCGACTTATTTTCTCACGGTATCGCCACCGAGAGAGGATCCATCTCGATATGATATACGATTGTTTCGCGTGTGCACGCACGCTGGTCGACCTAAAAGCGGTGGTGAAATCGTTAACGATCCTCATCGTTAAATAAAAGAAACGGCGATTCATCTTGGTAACAAGAAGAGAGGGAGCCGGAGGTGGCAAGAGCATTGCTTTTTCTCGAAGACACGTGGGGAGAGAAACGTTCTCCAAGGGCGTAAGTTTAATTAACGGACCGCCGCCGCTTTTGCTTCGACTTTACTTTCAACTTCGCCTTTTCAGCGTTTAAGTAGTCTAGGGGTTTGGGGATTTAAACGAAGTGGAGGCTTTCGAGACGGCGGAAATATTGTTCTTCTTTGTTCTTCCTCCAGATTCTCGGTGTTGTGAGTAACGCGTTTTAATTGCAATTGTGATTTAAGATGATAGAAGAGATTTAAGACGCGGTTAATTAGAGTTTCTTTTTTTTTTTTTTTTGTTACTTTTCAGTTCGATTCAAATGTCCCCGATTCTGATATGTTTTTTCGAATATTTACACTGATCTCGATTTTTTATCGTTGAGAGTTAAGATTTCTTAAACATAAATTGTTGTATCTTCTTTTTATCGATTATTTAAATGATAATAAAAAACATGATAAGCAACATTGAATGAAATAAAAAAAAAAAGTCGTAAAAATCTTTTCGTTCCTTGAAATAATAATATAAATATAATTAAATTCAGCGAATTCTTTTTCTTCAAAATTATCCCTTATCGCACAATTCTCTTTCCAAAATATCTACAAACTTCAAAAATTTTTCATCGACCAAATACCATTCCAGTCTCGAACGATTCAAGCTGCTTTCACCAGCCTCTACCATGAAATGAAACAAAATGAAAAAAAAAGAAAAGAGAAAGGAAAAAAGAGAGAGAACTACCTTTCACGAAGCGGAATCATTCCGAAGAAAGGTTCGCTGCAAGACAGGAAGAGGAAAGGGAAAAGAGGGAAGGGCGAGAAGCGCAATTTCTGAAAGGTCCGCTTTAATCAGTTCGATTCCAGGCTAGGCGGCCAACATTGGCCCACTTCGCCGAGTGCTAATAACGTAGCTACATCGAGGCAATAAATGTGCTCGTAGCTCGCGCGAACCTGTTCCAGCTTGGCTCGAAACCATCGACCACGAAGGGATGCTTTTCTTCGTCGGCACGCACCGATGAACGCGACCCTCCGCTTTGACACCATCGCGGAAAATTAGAAATACATGTTTATCCCCTGTTTCCCTCCAAACCAATTCATTTCTTTCTATACATCTTTTCCCTCTGTCGAAGAAACGGCGAAAGAAACGAAATTGCAAATTTTTATAAGCGTGTTCTTTCCAAAATATCTACAAACTTCAAAAAATTTTTCATCGACCAAATACCATTCCAGTCTCGAACGATTCAAGCTGCTTTCACCAGCCTCTACCATGAAATGAAACAAAATGAAAAAAAAAGAAAAGAGAAAGGAAAAAAGAGAGAGAACTACCTTTCACGAAGCGGAATCATTCCGAAGAAAGGTTCGCTGCAAGACAGGAAGAGGAAAGGGAAAAGAGGGAAGGGCGAGAAGCGCAATTTCTGAAAGGTCCGCTTTAATCAGTTCGATTCCAGGCTAGGCGGCCAACATTGGCCCACTTCGCCGAGTGCTAATAACGTAGCTACATCGAGGCAATAAATGTGCTCGTAGCTCGCGCGAACCTGTTCCAGCTTGGCTCGAAACCATCGACCACGAAGGGATGCTTTTCTTCGTCGGCACGCACCGATGAACGCGACCCTCCGCTTTGACACCATCGCGGAAAATTAGAAATACATGTTTATCCCCTGTTTCCCTCCAAACCAATTCATTTCTTTCTATACATCTTTTCCCTCTGTCGAAGAAACGGCGAAAGAAACGAAATTGCAAATTTTTATAAGCGGTTCGTATTTTATTATAAGCGTGTTGATGTACTCGTGGATTCAATATGAAAATGTTGATAGAGGATTATTTATTTAATTATAAGCAAGTTTGCAAGTTAGATGAAGTGAAAGTGAAAAAGTGATGTGAAGATGTAAAGATGTGAATGTATATATCCAGACTATTAGAGACATCGTTCGAGTTTTTTTTTATAGAAGATAAGACTTGATATTAAGTTTACATCATTTTTTTAAGATGGAGGTTCGCGAAATACTCTTTCTAGAAGGATTGATATTTGGTATTAATTGACAATTGTGATTAAGTATAATTTTCGATTTTCCTCTCTCAATAATAAATCGAATCATAATAAATTTCTTAAATTTTCCTGAAAATATCTTACAATTTATAATAATGTATTATAATGTAAGAGGTACAAGACAATTTGTATTATCGTAATGAAATATTTCCATTCGGAAATATGTCTATTATTTTATTTACTACTCTCGCGAATGAATCGAATCGTGCGAATCAAAATGAAAATAAAGAATGAAAGGCTCTTTAAATATTTACAGAACCTAAAATTAAACCGGTGCTTAGCTAGCATAAATAAGGGGGAAGTAAAAATGATACGATCGAAGCAGGAACGCCTACACGTTTTCCATTTCAACTTCAATCCCGGTATTTTTAGAACCCTCTTCAAATGTTTGAGGAAAAGTTAATTATGAAGGGGAATCAATCAATCACGTAGGAATTCTCTGTAACGCATGAAAGGGCCGGTTACAATTTATTTTTAGTAAGTCGATAAACAGTCGAAAAGTTAGCCTATAATTTTCTATAAATTAAAATCTGTATATAAAATTAGTATTTTCCAATCGAACGATACGACGATTGTATTAAAAAAAAAAAAGATTTGTATACGTAGATTAATAACTATTAAAAAGAGTTTAAAAAAAATTCTCCTATAAATTCTATAAGAATTCTCATTCATCATTCATCTCAATTCCTAAAAAAAGTAATCATATTTGATTCCATAAAAAATAATATGTGTACCAAATCCTTCGTGATAATTGTTCAATTTTTCTAATTTACTTTTTTCTAATTTAATCGCAATTCTACTTCACCCACGATATTCTCGTTTACAACAGAGATTATTATCGATTCATCGGCACATACGTTTAAATATATTCGTTAACGATACAAGCCGTGATAATTCAGATTAAATAGCCTTCTTGAAACCTCTTTTTAAAACACCCTGTACGTGCCACTAGACACTGACCTAGAAGCGTCGAGAGATTACACCTTGGCGATAACCATATCCCTAAGAGTCGAGATTTATGCACGACTTTTTACACAAGGATCTCTGTTTTAACGAGCGCGCCTCGTGGCCAGTTACGCGAATTCGAGACAATTTAAAGCGTTTTCGAGCTTGTCCCCTGCCAACATTTTCGTTGGAACCGGACCTATCGTTCTGGTAAGCCGGAGCCATTAGATATCCATTTTTATTTTTCATTTCTTTCTCAATCTTTGAACAAATTATTTATCGAGTAAATTTTCAATCAATTATTAATTATAATCATTTAGGAATGATTGTAATTATTGATTCATTTTAAATGAAATATTTTTACAATTTATTATATAGAGGGATTAAAAGGATTTGAAATATTCTCTAATCTCTTATCTTTAGAGAGATAAGAATGGAGAAATAAAATGTGAATCTTGCGAATAAATAATACATTGTTCCAAATTCTTCTAGAAGGTAAATGCTACGTAAAGTTAGACGCTAAACAGATTATTTCTGCCTAATGTAGTAAGGCAAATGAGGATTAATGGTGTAATAACTTAAGATGAGAATTTCCAACCCTGCTTGTTAGAACAGCTAATTGATTAATTGTAGCTCTTACTTGAAAAACGAATTTTCCCAAAATTTTGTTTTCATATTTATACATTGTGTAATTTTATAAAATTTCACGTTCTATTTTTACATCTTCAGATCTAGTAATTATACGTTTTTTCTTCCAAATCAAATTTCAAGATTTATAAAATGTGATGAAAATTTTAGAAAAATTCATAAGAAATTTTGACAATTTTGTTTCAGATTTTAGTCAGAATTTCAATACTCGAAACTCGAGGAGGAATTGATTATATGATTATTCAGTGTTAAAAGAAAAATTAAAAGATAAATATTTGATGCTGAGAAAACTGTAAATGCAAATGACGAATCCCTCTATTGTTCTCCTATTCAAGGAGAATACCTCTAACAAGATATACTCTCTCAAGGAGAATCCGCGTATCAAGACATGTGGCGTATTCTTGAATTATTACAAATTTCTGGTCGTATGAACGAGAACAAACGGCACCAAGGCTCTTTCGATACTCCTTCGTAGGGAATTTACGACAAAGGAACGTTGGAAGGCCGACTAAAATCGATTCTCTTCTCCTTGAAGCGGTGCTGTTCTCGTTGAGTTGAAGTGTAACAAGGGAAAGCACCGCCAACCGTTGTGCAACAATTTCTATGAAACTTTGTAAACTGATAGGAAATTGAAGAATTATTATGTACATGCTCTCGTCTGTGCATTGAAATATTTTGACGAATATTTTACCGTGGGAAGACAATGTTTCCTTCCATCGGTTTTCAAAATATCAATCTAATAACTAGAAAATCGTATTTACTTTTTCTAATTAAATTATGCATTTCTTATAATCGTATCTCAATCGATAGTTTTTCAAATGATTTCATTTAATGGCTAGCCAGTCAGAAATCAAATCGGTAACCAATAATCAATTGACAGGCAACGATCAGACAATTATCAATAATCATTTTGTCAAAAATGTTTTTGGCAGT